TCTCTCTCTCGATTCATTGAGTACTGTAGAGCGACGTCAGTGGTTGATATTCCTAACAACCAAGCGCACTGATAAAAGTAAGAAAACACAATTACGATAATGACAGCGATTGTCAGCAGCTGCTGCTACGCCACAAGCAACAGCTGACAGTTTGGACTTGTTGTCACAGCAGGCGGCGGTGGAGTGCACTTGTTCAAACACAACGCAGTCGAGTTCTCGGCTCTATTTTCCAATCATCGATAGATTTCCTATGCAGATGAGTTCAATGTGTGTCTACCTGGGTTGATAACGTGGATTTATCGTCCGTATTTGACTTAAGCCTTACCCTAGTCAATATTAGTAATGTGTACTTCTTTCCGCTCTCTCTTTTACAGGTTTTTCAGCGTTTCAAAATTAAGCCATGAATTGTCTTCCAAGAAGCATGTAGATAACTCAAATAATCACCTATCGTAATCATGGATTTTATGACGCCTGTTGCACGTCGATTTCACACTTATTCACGTGTCGAGTCAGTGAACTGGTTCTTTGTGAGTCACTGTCATCGTTGAAGGCCGATTAAACCTACTCAAATTTTATTTTCGTTCACACAAATTCGTAAAACCGTAGGTAACTCACGTTTTTGCGATTTTGCAGTGGCGTCGCCTTAACCTCAATCTACCTGTGCACCAACTCTCATGAGCATGAGCATGAGCATGATTGACCGCCCACGGTTGCTACTCTGTTATTGCCAGACCAGCTGTAATTACACAGAGAACCAATAGCCGATGCTTGGGACTAGCAATCATCCTCAATGTGTAAAAAATGGTGATCTAGAATTAGGCAATACCAGCGCTAGCCGTGTCTGAACGCAGGTCAAGAGAGGAATGGGTAGGAATGTGTTGACGTGACACTCGCTTTGATGGAAGCCGAGGAATCCTCTGCACTTCCACGAGGAATCACAGGAATGTTGGGTAAGAGGGTTGGGTTTGCAGCAGGGTTCGTTTTGGTAAACGATAAGCTGAATTGATGTCCTAACGATCGTATAACGCGAACGAGCTTGGGATTGAACCCACGGTTCTCTGCTCAGTAAGCAAAAACGTCTGCAACTAGGCAGACGAGCTCCTTTTTAATCATTGACGAATCTTGAATGTGGATGGGCCTGAGACACTAGACTCATGATGTTCTGCTCAGTAAGCAAAAACGGTTGCTCTAAGGCCACCGAGCCTCTCATATCACATTATAGCGTTACTCAAGTTTTTATAACTATTCAAACCCGGCACCGACGACAACGAAAAGTTTTACAAAATACACGATAAACAAGCGATATTTCAATATTTTTAATATGAAAGGATCTGGAACCGCGTCTTTCTCCTCAGTAAGCAAGCCACTGCAACCGACGATCTTTGAAATCCTTAAACTAAAAGCTACGAAAGAGTACTTAGGCCTTCATTAAGATCCACTTTCACGCGACGTTCAATGTTTCGATTTTCTCTTTATGCATAGTTCAGACAATCATAACAAGCTATGACCGACGTGCCGATTGTTTAAGCAGGCTTCCGGAAATCTCACGCGTACACAAATGCGACAGCTAGCTGTGAGACGGAGCGTCGCATGATTTTTTAAATCCATGGTGTGCTACATTAATTGTACAAAAGAGAGACCAGAACGATGCGCGCAACAAGCTACACGCTCTCAACAAATTCGAGCGTTTCATTTTTTTTTTGTCTCATCGCATTGTTCTCTCAATGCGACGCATGTATTCAATCACATGCGACTGTTTCATTGAAACATCTCAATGCGCTCTCTCAGGGCGCCATCGCCGTGCGCTGTTTCGCATGCCTTGACTCTCGCGGTCCCATCATATGAGATGTTGTCGGGTGACGAGACAAAGGACTGAAAGGTTTGTTCACAGAAGACTTGTGTGCCCTTTTCACATGTGCCTTATGGAATGGGGTGAAGTTTTTAGATGGTTCCAGAAATATCTTCTAGCAGACTCAACACATGGTTCCAGAGATCTACTGGAATCACCGTAAGATCACCACTCATGCTAAAGGAAGGTAAAGGAAGACTACGTGAGCGGTGGATGGCAACCTTGCCGTAGTTGGGATACCGTTAGCATGTTAGCACCCCAAATAATACCGGAATATCTCTGGAACTATGTGTCCTTCAACAAGTCCTTATGCGGAAATCTTCTAAAATACATTTTTTGGAAGCCTCTGAAGCTTTCAGCAAATTTGGTGGAAAAATAAACAAGTTATTGCGCATTTGCACTAAATTAGACTCAGAATCCATTCAGAATACTTTTACCCAGACTATACAAGATCATATGGTCGGCGTTAAGTCATAAGGGACTAAGTAGCAAAATAAAAACAAAAATTGAGTTAATGATATCATAAGATCAAGAATTCCCTCAGCTACATTTCACTTTTTCAGCCAGATTTTAAAAATTAGAGTAGCAAGAGAAAACGGCCAAAAGATTTGTCCCATTACATAAGAAACAATATTGTACAGCCAACTTTAAATTCGTTCATCTCGAAATCAAAAAAAAAATGTCACTTAGTTCTGACTCAGCACTGACCATATCAACACGCTAGTAATGATAGAACTCTGAAGATTAAAATTTGTATTTTGTCTGGCTTGAGTGAACACTATTTTAAGGGATTATTTTCAACGCAGAAGTGTACTTTGCTGCAAAAACGTTGGTGGTGACTTCTCATTACATACACACAAGTCTACACTTAAAAATTAACCAAGTTTAACATGTTGTAAATTTGTTCTGTTATGATCCATTGAGCTGATATTTTGACTCAAAACTTGCTTTTCCATTGACCTTTGTCCGATCAGCTATGCACAAATTTTATTTTTATTGTCACCTTCCAGCAGGTGCTTCAAAAAATTTGGTATTTCTTACACGTGAAATTCAACATATTTGTAGTTTTGCGTTAAAATTTCAGCTCAATTGATCATAACAGAACACATTTACAACATGTTAAACTTGGCTAGTTTGTATGAAAACGACCTTTGTCCGAACTACTTTGCACCACAGTGTACGTAGGTACGAAATTCTGGATTAAGGTTAATGTAATAAATTTAGGAAAAAGTTGTGTCATATCTGTTGGCGCGCTCCTTGGCACCAAGGCGGTGAATTCTCCTCGTCAAGGCGGAAAACAAGCAGAATCGAGTCAGTTGGTCGACCAGTCCAGCGAATGCGGTTTCGAAAGCGGCAGAATAAAAGGAGGACAAGTTTTAACTTTTAATCTTTTATTCTCCGATATTAACCGTGTGCAATACAAAAATTAACTTAGCTCATTCACGAATGGGCTGCTTTATTTACACTCATTCACCGATCCGACAACGTATAATGGGCGGAGCGTTGCGCGCTATTCTACGTTTTCTTCTTGTAGGTTGCCTTTGTTGGTGTGCGTCGCTTCTACTGCTGCCGCTGCTTCTGTTGGTGTGCGTCGTTCGGTTTCATTTGGCAGTCTTTCCGGAGCGAACGGTTCGGTCGCGAACATATTCCCCCCAGGCTGCGAAGAATTCACTGAATCGATGTTTTGGTCGTCATTGTCAGCAATCGGAAGGACGGATAATTTGGATACCGCTCGTCTATAGATGCAACCTTCGACGTTGATGTCTACCGCTCGCACCAAATTGTCGGAACCTGGGTAAATCTGGACGACCTTTCCCATCTTCCAACATTGCGGTGGGATATCCTTCTGCTCAAGCACCACGATCATACCAGGGCGAATGTTTGGTTGTCTTTGGCGGTTTTTCCCCCTCAGTTGCAGGTTCAACAAGTAGTCCCGGCTCCATTGTCTCCAGAACTGCTCACGGAGGTACTGTAGATACTGCCATCTTGACAGGCGATTGGTTGGTATCTCATTGTAGCTAGGCTCCGGCGTGGCTATCAGAGGACGGCCAATCAAAAAATGGCCCGGTGTTAAAATTTCGTCGTCTGGATCTGATGTTGAACAGAGAGGCCGGGAATTCATTATAGCCTCCACTTGGCTAAGGACTGTAGCATACTCTTCAAAAGTCAATTTGGCATTTTTTAGAGTTCTCTTCAGGTGATACTTAGCGGTCTTCACTGCGCTCTCCCAGAGGCCGACAAAGTTAGGAGCTTCCGGTGGGATAAATTTCCAGGAGATCTCTTTTGGCTGACAGAAGGATGCTATCTCGTCAACGGCATTGCGGCTGCGAAATAGGAGATATAGATCATGTAATTCGGATTTGGCTCCCTTGAAGTTGGAGCCATTATCTGAAAAGACCTCTCGGCAAATGCCCCGTCGGCTGACGAAGCGCTGAAGTGCAGCTAGGAACGCGGCGGTAGAGATGTCGGAAACTAATTCCAAATGGACAGCTTTCGTTGACATGCAGATAAACACCGCGATGTAGGCCTTGACAATTTTCGGTTTGTGACGACCTTATTTCACAAATACTGGTCCGGCATAGTCAATGCCAGTTTTCAAAAACGGTTCAGCGGGTGTTACTCGGCAGGGCGGCAGATTTCCCATCAGTTGAATAGAACGTTTAGGCTTCGACCGGAAACATGTGATGCAGCTTCTGGTAACGGACGACCTTCCATCCAGCAACCAAAAACGTGATCGGAGAGCGGCCAATAGGGCAGTTGGACCAACATGCAGATTCTCTTCGTGGTATGTACGGATGATTTGATCGGTGATCGGATGTTTAGGAAGTAATAGTGGATGCTTGGTTTCAAAAGGTAGCAGGGAATGTTGAAGCCTTCCTCCAACGCGCAGCACTCCATCGTTGTAAATCGGATTCAGAGCAGCAATTTTCTTACACGGTTCGTTGGATGTCACACGATGTATCTCGTCACCCAGAGCTTCAAGCTGAATGACCCTTACAATCAGCTGTAAAGCCGAGCGTAGTTCTTGGATTGTAGGATGACGTTGGAGGACTCGTTCGTTGCGAGATTTCAGTTGACAGTTACGGATAAATCGCTGGACCAACGCGACTACCCGTTGAAGCTTTCTGAACGAGCTGAACCTAGAAAATACTTCCATCTTCTCCTCGTTAACGACTGGAATGGCGGTTACATTTACCTTTTTCAACTCCGGAAGATCTTCATCTGCGATGTCATCGGGAAGTTCCGACTGGTACTGCGCGGTGCTTAGAAATGTCGGCTCATTCCACCAAAGTTCATTGGTGCTCAGGGCGTGTGGAAATTGACCTCTGGATACTAAATCTGCTGGGTTTTGTTTCGATTTGATGTACTTCCACGTGTAGCCTTCGGTGCTCTTCAAAATCTCTGCTACGCGGTTGCGCACAAACACTTCAAGGGATGATAACGGCTTCCGCAACCAGGCAAGTACCACCTGACTGTCGCACCACAGAACAACTTGCGATACATCTAGTTGAAGGGAGTCCAGCACTTTTACGAGTAGCCGGGCAAGTAGCTGGGCACCGAGTAATTCTTTGCGTGGAATGCTCAATTCAGCTATCGGAGTGACCTTGGATTTGCTGCACAGCATGTTGAGTCGAGCCTTACCATTCGGTAGGATACAGCGAATATAAATGACCGCTCCGTAAGCAGCCGCCGAGGCGTCGGAGAAGCCATGGATTTCGATGGTGGTGGCATCAGAAGAAATGGTGCATCGAGGAATCTTAATTTCGCTTACCAGGAGTATTGCTTCACGGAATTGTTTCCAGGATTGTAGAAGTTCTCCTTCCAACGGGGTATCCCACGGGAGACCGGATCTCCAAATCCTCTGCATGATCATTTTGGCGATAATGGTTACCGGCGTCACAAGACCCAGTGGATCGAACAGTCTGCCAATTTCGGATAACACTGTTCGCTTCGTAGGATGGCTTGCTTCTCGATCGGTTTGATTGGTGCTGAACACAAATTCATCTCGTTGTGGGCTCCAGATCAATCCCAATGTCTTCATAACGTCGATTGAGGTGTTGTCCAGACGTACTAATTTCTCACGGTCGGCTTCTGGAACGTTTTCTAGAACTTCTGTTGTGTTAGAACTCCATTTGTGGACCGGGAATCCACCTCGTTCAAGTAGCTGTTGAATTTGGGTTTGACTTGCGATGGCTTCCTCTACGGTGTTCGCACCTGAGATGACATCATCGACGTAACAATCTAGGCGGATGATTCGTGCAGCGAGTTGAAATGAGTCGCCTTCATCGTCACAGAGCTGTATCAAACATCTGGTCGCCAAGAATGGGGCTGCAGCTGTCCCGTAAGTAACGGTTGTGAGTTCCAGGACACGGAGGGGTTCTTCCGGGCTTGACCGCCAGAAAATTCGTTGGAAACACGCGTGAAGTAGGGCCATGCGTATCTGTCGAAACATTTTTGAAACGTCAGCAGTGAATACTATCCTATACTTCCGAAAACGTAACAGGATACTGAAGATGTCGCTTTGCAGTGTTGCTCCAACTAGAAGAACGTCGTTCAATGACTTCTCGGACCGGGATGCCTTGGCAGAGGCGTCGAAAACAACTCGAATTTTAGTTGTCGAGCTCGATGGACGTAGGATGGCTTGATGCGGGAGATAATACACTCGTTGATTGGGAGTATCATCGGCTTCGTTCACCTCTTGACAATGTCCCAATGCTTCATACTCATCGATGAATCGACAATACTGTTGCTTTAGCTCCGGATTTTTCTTGAATCTTCGCTCTAACGAAAGGAACCGATGCATGGCCAAGTTTCGGTTGTCTCCTAGCTCGTGCACCGATTCGCGGAATGGCAAACTCACCTCATATCTGCCGGTCTCATCTCGACGATGGGTAGACTGGAATACTTTTTCGCACTCATCTTGCTCGCTGGGTTGTGTTACTGACTCAGAGATCTCTTCCAGCTCCCAGAATTGGCGAAGGACTTCAGAAATAGGATCCGTCAGGGCAGCTAGACACTGCTGGGAGGTTGACACGTCGTCGATGTCTCCTGCAACTACCCATCCTAAATGGGTTTCTTGTAGTTCAGGTAACTTATCACTCAGTTGAATACGGCCCGTCTTTAGCAATTGCAAAAAATGGGAGATACCGATTAGCATATCGATATCGGAAGGAGTGTGGAAGTTGGGGTCTGCCATAAGTAGATCGGTGTCGATTGGCCACGCCGAAACGTTGATTTTCGTTGCTGGAATCGCTCCCGTTATCTCAGGAACTACGAGGCATTCGATAGTAGTACAGAAATCGGAATGCCTGGACTCCACTTTCACCATCATCTTCTCCTTGGCGTAGGTTTTGGACCCACCTATTCCAGCGATGGGTACATGTGCAGGTCGTCTTTCGGTGGCCAAGCGGTCAGCCATTGCCTTGGATAGGAAGTTGACTTGCGAGCCGCTATCCAACAGAACACGGCAGGGAGTTGTCCATCCACGAGAATCCTTGATTCGCACCACAGCGGTCATGAGCATAACGGTTTTGGCAGCTTTAGAATGGTTACACGACGCAACAGTTTCGGTGACTCGTTGAGACTCCGAGTGGTTCTCGGAAGAGGTTTGGCAAGCTGGTTCTTCATTTTGGATGGTTGGTGCTACCTCCACTGTATTCGAATCTGATTCTTCATGCAACAGAGTGTGGTGTCTTCTCTGGCAGCGAGAGCACGTCTTTTTGGATGAACAATCAATGGCTCGATGACCAGGGCGAAGGCAGTTGAAACAGATTCTTAACTCCTTCACTTTTTCACTCCGTTGAGCCGGTGACATTTGATGGAACTTCGGGCATTCGAAATGGCGATGGTAGCCACTACATACCTGGCAGGAACTGCTGGAGGTCACAGTCGTTGCAGCGTGGGCTTTCTGGTTAGTTGGTTTCGAACCCTGTTGTTGCCTTGAAAATGGCTCTTTTGCCGTCATCTGGTGCCGGTTTTGGAACCTTTCCAACACCTGGCATTCGCTTCGAAGAAAGGCCACAGTTTCTTGGTACTGGGGCAGCTTGGCATGCTGCTGTGTCCTCTCCCATAACTGGAGTGTTTGATCGTCCAATCGTGAAGTGAGGATCTTCGTGAGGATGAGACCAGATAGTTCATCAACTTCCAGTCCCTGGTACTCGAGACCGCCAACACGACGGATGAATGTCTTCACTAGCTCGAGTAAATCTTTATGCGTATCGACGATTACTCATGGGTTTTCGTACTGGTCACTGAGCTGTTGCCAGGTTTGCTTGAAGTTGTTGTCAACGATCATTTTTGCCGTAATCCAACCGGAGGCATCACCCGTTAGCGCCTTATCGAGATGATGCAGCTTAACTGCATCCGAATCGGCGCTCTGTCCGACAATATCCTCAAACATCATCCGAAATTTCGGCCAATTCTCTACCTTCCCGTCGAATGTGGGAACTGGAGCTCGCAGTGATTGCTGCTGGATGATCACGGATTGATTTACACCTCTAGCACCGGGAGGGGAAATGGTTTCGGTGAGCAGTTCAAGCAAGGCAAGCGTGTTGGTATGGAGAGCGTCGAAAATATCCAAAGCATCATCTTCCAGTTCAATCTCATTGGAGGGTGTGGAAGCAACTATTGATTGGTGAATTGAAATGAACTCGTTGTAATGAAGTTCAAGCTTTTTCGAAAACACTTTCAAGAGCGATGCACAAATTTTACTTGGAGTATCCTCAGCTTCTTCAAGTGTGCGACTTATCGTTGTCACCTTTGCCTGAATTTGGCGACGCTGGTGAACTAATGCTGCCTTGGCATCATCTTCTGCCTCCTGCTTGGTAGACTTTCTCGTTTTCGGCATTTTGATCCACTTTTTCCTCACTAGAATTCAATGTCGACACGACACTGGTTGGTTATCCGGTTCGGTAGGACCATATGTTGGCGCGCTCCTTGGCACCAAGGCGGTGAATTCTCCTCGTCAAGGCGGAAAACAAGCAGAATCGAGTCAGTTGGTCGACCAGTCCAGCGAATGCGGTTTCGAAAGCGGCAGAATGAAAGGAGGACAAGTTTTAACTTTTAATCTTTTATTCTCCGATATTAACCGTGTGCAATACAAAAATTAACTGAGCTCATTCACGAATGGGCTGCTTTATTTACACTCATTCACCGATCCGACAACGTATAATGGGCGGAGCGTTGCGCGCTATTCTACGTTTTCTTCTTGTAGGTTGCCTTTGTTGGTGTGCGTCGCTTCTACTGCTGCCGCTGCTTCTGTTGGTGTGCGTCGTTCGGTTTCATTTGGCAGTCTTTCCGGAGCGAACGGTTCGGTCGCGAACAATATCTGTATTACGGATTGTTGCTAAGCTTCTTGCTTCAGGAATTGTATTGAATTGTATTGATGTCAATCAACAAAACTTACCACGGCAGCATCTGAATTATTCAGATGTGTTTGTGCTCAAAGGATAGCTCATACCAGCCACCATGATGCTGAATTGAAACAATCAATTTGCGACAACAGATTTCCAAAAAGTCCTAGTGTTAGTACCGTGGACCCTCGGTGAAATTGAAAAAAAGCATATTAACGAGCAAATAAACCACAGCTTGATTGTACATTTCGCTTACCAAAGCCACATCTCTTCCTTCGTTCGTTATGAATGGGCTATTTTTCAAGTTAATCCTTTAGTCAACGAAATACGACGAAATACGCGTATCTGTCAAAAGATAAGCAATTATAACGGAACTAAATGGAAATAAACTAACACATTCAAAGCGCTCCATCGAAATAAATGCTAAAAAACAATTTTTCAAATCAATTAGAGCAGTTCCACGCCAAATGACGATCCGCATAAATATATGGTAACCGCATCACATGTTTTGATGACTCTCGTGGCTCTCGTTTTGGCTATTTCATTGTTGTTAAGCTTTGAAGCTGTTTTAATGGCTAAAGGGCGCGTTTCAGGCCTTTTAACATATCAGGCATCTTTGAGACTTTTCTGGCGTTTTGAGATCTTGTGTGGCTATATTTGTGAATCATAAGCTTATTGAATTTCTCAAGGTAGGTTGCAATCAACGAAAGTTTGAGAAACGCTGCTAAAAGGCTATGTTTAATTATGTTATAAGCATTTTATGATTTATTTTATCATATAATTTTATTCATAATTAAGTGCTTCCATCGTTACCTACTGTCACGGAATTTGTTAAGTTATTTTGGATGGAGGAAAATACAGGCATCAAAATGCAGCAAAAGATCATAAGTCCTGCCACTACAATAATTGAATTGATTGATAATTTGTCCGGCGTCCGTTGCTTATCCGTGCAACGCTTCAACTGGATTTGATAGAGGGCGCGATACGGTGGACAGTCACACTGTCCGGGTGCTAATTCCACGGAAGTTTGTCCTGCAGCAGAATCTTGTACCTTTTTAATATGAACGATAAATGATATAGTCGACCTTCCCGATAGTACCGTCACATAACATTCGACTCTGTTTGATAGGCAAACGTTGATTTGACTGCCCGTTGTCGCTAGCATATTTGGACCACTTTCACCGTCGTCGGTAAACGTAAATGCTGCTACTTCATTGAAACAGTTGAGTGAGGCCATTGCTGTAGCTGAGGAATTGCCTACGGTACAGGAAAATGTGGTCCTGATGCATTTGTAGGACGCGATGTCCGTCCGGTATAATGTGGATTGACAACTGATTTCATTGGACGTATTTAGGCGTAGCGTGGGACAAGCGATGCCTGCTATCGTTGTCCGAAGATAAGAACAGACGATGATCACTAGCAATGCTAGCCGCATGATGACTTCTGACGAGCGACTGAAATGAGACCCATGCAATTTGGGATTACAACTCCGACGTTGATTGCAATAGAAACACTTATTGGGAAAGACGTTTGCCGTAAACAGGTTAATTGGGTTCTCCTTCTACTTCCTTTATATCTAGACGAACATTTGAAAGAGGCGGAAGAGCCAAAATGTAAACAAACCATATATTGCCACATATAGAGATAACACTTCACAAACTACTCGATAAACACGAAAAAGTAGAGGAAAATATCACTTCAAATCATCAAAATCGTTTCTTCTTACATGGCGTATTTCCAATTTTCAACTCTATGAAGCATCTTGTTGTTACGCTTTGTACCAGAACTACGAGTTATATTATTTTAATATTTCAAACGTACTAATTCTGTGTAGTATCAAGTCACACCCGATTCATTTGAAATGCATCCGATTGATAGTTCACCTGTAAACAACGAACAAAAAAAAAACAAAAAAAAAATTCCGGGCGTAATTCCACTCTCACAAAATTTACGAACGAAGAACCAAAGCGGAACAACAAACAAAAAATCCCGAGGGTGTATTTCCACGGCGTTTCACCAGGGTGGAAGATCCGGGAGTAACAACATGTAAGAAATTATTGCCCTGTATGATGTTTTCTGGCAAATAAAAACTTTTTTTGAGTTTTTAGTGATGCATTATGATAGATTACACAATTGACTAAACAGTGTATAGCAAAATTCAACGTACATCCTAGTGGAACATTTTTTGAAACAATGTGAATAGATATATTTTTTTTTTAATCTTGGCTGGTGATTTATCGCTTTAGCTTTGGACTTCTTCGGAAGAACCTGTATGCAGTTAGATTTATTTTAGTAAAACGATTTTCAACTAGTGAACGAATTTTAGTAAAATTAGTGGAATATGAATGATCTTTCTTATGGCTAAAAATGAGCAAAATTAAAAAAAAAAGTTTAGTTCATTATATTTCAAGTAAAAGGCGTTAATAACCGCAACCAACTAAGTCCAGCACTGTACCAATAATTGATAAATTTATCATGATTCAGCAGCCAGAAATTCAGAAACGCATCTCTTTAATTTGTTCCTTTAAAGCTGTTTTTTTCTAAAATTTATAGACATCTGTACGCTCAATTTGGAGATACACTGTAAGCTAATAAAATCAGTCAGAAAATGGAAAGTCGTGAAATAGGATTAATTTTCAGGTCATCAAAATTTGGAAATGATTTTCTCGATATGGTGATTTAGGAATTCCGCCCTTTTCAAATGTTAGATATGTTAGATATGTAGTTTTTAAAAGTTTCCAAACAGTTTGCCACCACTTTCATTGAACCTTAAAGGCGACGCAGAGCAGTCACAAATGTTGGGTTCAGCGTAAATTCGGATTGCAATATAATTGGAATATTATAATTCCAAGAGAGCAGTTCCAGGCCAAATAGCACAAAAGAAAATAAAGTTAAGATTTTAATTCTCAGAATTCATAATAAGTGTATATTTTTTTTCTGAAAGGGAAAACCTGTTTCCGACAACTTTGTCTCAAACGTCAATTCGATTAAATGAGCTGTTTTCGCGCTATGATTTATTGAAAATTATAAAACATGCAATTTTTTTTAAAACTAGGCGCATTCCAGCACAAACTTGGTTAATTGCCCCTAGCGAACAATTAGGCAAAGTTTTATGGAATTCGGAAAGGGAAAAATGACATCGATTCGTCAGTTGGCGTGGAACTGCTCAATAGTCATATTTAATACGCCAGCCCACTAAATTTTGATATCAATTCATGGATAAAGGGTAGGCTGTTCCCCCCGCTCATGGAGACATTCTCTCGTGTGATTACCTTTATCGGCTAGCATTATACAAGGCAAGGTGAATCCAAGTCAGTGATGCTCCATATTCGTGACCTACTCTTCTGTCAAAGTCCACGGAATTAGGAACTCGTCTAGCTTGTCTATCACTCGTGGTGCGCGGTGAAGTCTCATTATTAAGCCATATATCATCCGGATCTCTCTCTCTCTCGATTCATTGAGTACTGTAGAGCGACGTCAGTGGTTGATATTCCTAACAACAAAGCGCATTGATAAAAGTAAGAAAACACTATTACGATAATGACAGCGATTGTCAGCAGCTGCTGCTACGCCACACGCAACAGCTGACAGTTTGGACTTGTTGTCACAGCAGGCGGCGGTGGAGTGCACTTGTTCAAACACAACGCAGTCGAGTTCTCGGCTCTATTTTCCAATCATCGATAGATTTCCTATATAGATGAGTTCAATGTGTGTCTACCTGGGCTGATAACGTGGGTTTATCGTCCGTATTTGACTTAAGCCTTACCCTAGTCAATATTAGTAATGTGTATTTCTTTCCTCTCTCTCTCTCTTTTACAGGTTTGTCAGCGTTTCAAAATCAAGCCATGAATTGTCTTCCAAGAAGTATGTAGATAACTCAAATAATCACCTATCGGAGCCGAGTGAGTTGATATGATATAGATTTGTACCCGAGATCCCTCCAAGGTGTAATTTGATCTCAAGAGATACATTGAAAACGAATCTTACTTAGAGAGTGGGTCACTTTTACTCATTCGTATGGAGAAAGCTTATTTATCGTTTTGTGCCGAGTATGCAATAAATGAGGCACTTACAGTTCGAATCTAAAAGCACCGTCCGGTTGTTTCAGGTACTGATTTCTGAAATCTGTGAAAGGGAAATCATAATTTTTGGCATTTCAGAAACGTCCCGGTTTCTTATGCAAAATGATGGCTGTGCGTCCACAAAACGCACGAAATCTTAAAAAAATTAATGTTTAATCCCTTTTTTT